ATATCTCAACATGTGATATATATTGATATATATAGATACGTATATGTATGCTTATATATGTATATACTGATGTATATTTCTATATTGATGTATCTATATTAACATATAGATATATATGTGTGTGTACATATATGTGTGTGTGTGTGTATATATATATCAACATGTAGTCTGTGTATACATATATAGTGAGACAGGTGTATGTGTGTGAATATATATATATATATATATATATATATATCTCAACATGTGATATATATTGATATATATAGATATGTATATGTATGCTTATATATGTATATATTGATGTATATTTCTATATTGATGTATCTATATTAACATATAGATATATATATGTGTGTACATATATGTGTGTGTGTATATATATATCAACATGTAGTCTGTGTAAACATATATAGTGAGACAGGTGTATGTGTGTGAATATATATATATATATATATATATATATATATCTCAACATGTGACATATTTTGATATATATTGATATATAGATATGTATACGTATGCTTATATAAACCTCAATTAAAACGAACCTGCCCTCAAAAAACAACAACAAAGGAATAAAGTTAAAATGGTCTTCCTTCCCACTTCCAATGTTTCCTCCGCTTCCTCCTTACCAGGAAGTTGTCCATGTTGCGCACTTCCTGGTTGACGTGGTTGAGGATCTGCCGGCAGCACTCGGCCGCCTTCTCCACTTTCTGCCGCTCCTCGTCTTCCTCTGCAACCGAGGACCCCGAAGAAGTGGGTCAGAGACATAGAACGTTGGAAGGGGCCCCCAAAGGCCATCCAGTCCAACCCCCTTCTTTCTGCCAGGCAGGAAAAGCACCACCCGAGCCCTCCCGACAGATGGCCATCCAGCCTGTGGTTACAAAACCCCCCAGACAATGATGTTGGAAGAGATAACACAATCTGAGATCCTCCTTTGGTAGAAAAGGCGGCTCAAGACCTTGTCAAACTACATCCTCCAGGACTCCAGAGCATGGAACCAATAATAATAACAATAATAATAATGAAGTGCATTTATAAGAGAGGCAATGAGAGTGCACTCATTCTGCTTTTCCTTTCCATTACGGGAACCTTGAGTGTCCTCCGGCCTGGCCCAGGTGTATTGCAAAGGGGCGGGGAGAGGGCAAGGGGGCGTGGCCTTCTCCTTACCTGTGCATTTGGCGATGTTGTGCAGGAGGAGCGGGTACTTGGTCAGCCTCTGCATCTCGATGGGGATGATGTCCTTCAGCTGCAGGCGGCGGCACTGCGGCTGGCTCTCCGCTTCCTATCATCATCATTACTAGTATTATTATGATTATTATTGCACCATTCTTCAATTCTAATCAGTTTTATGACAAGTTACGATATATGTGTGTGTGTGTAATTTTACATTACTTGCATCTCAATTTTTTAAATATATATTTTACTGTCATTGTATGTTGTTTATTTGCATTGCTGTATTG